CGCGCGCATGCAGGGCCGGCTCGTGCATTGTGGCTAGCTTCGTCGCTCGTAGTCGTGCCGTTAGCGTTTCTCTGGTTCCCAACGCCCGCGTTGCGCGGAGCAATGGTAATTTTCTGTGGCATTATCCCCCCTCTCATGAGGCATCGTCCGATGCTTTCGATGATAATGTGTGCAGCGTTTCCGTCTCGGAAGGTTTGTAAGAGTGAAATGGTTGTACAGCAAGCAAGTGGGGTGGCTAGTCTTCGTGTTGGTCGTAATACGGTTTCATGCGCACAATGTGTACATGCTCGGTGGGGTTGCGTCGTTTAGAATGCCCATGTCCTGTAGGCTTGACTTCATAAACGAGGTCACTGAGTCGCTGTACTACCTCGTAAGGACCGAAATATCGACAAATGAGTTTTTCAGGCAGGCCTCGTTGTCGTACCGGGGTCTATATCCACACTTTGTCACCGACTTCATACCGTGTTTCACGTCTTCCTCGGTTGTAGCGGTCGGCATCGATTCGTTGTTGGTGACATATTCCGTACCTTGCTAATTGGCGGGCCTCTTCCGCTCTCTCTATATAGTCATCGAGATCAGAAGGGTAGTCATCTTGATCTATAGGTAACATAGCGTCCAGTGTTGTGGTAACTACTCGATTGTAAACTAGTTGAAACGGGGTAATCTGTGTAGTCTCTTGTACGGCGGTGTTATAGACGAAGGTGACGTATGGTAAAATTTCGTCCCACTTTTTGTGTTCGACGTCCACATACGTAGATATCATGTCAACTAGAGTTCTGTTAAGGTGTTCAGTCAGGCCATTGCTTTGAGGGTGATATGCGGTAGTTTTCCTGTGAACAGTGTGGGTCATGTTCAACAGGCATTCCATGAGTTCAGTTCTGCCGTGAAAGCCGGTCCGCAATCGGTGATTACAACAGTTGAAGTGCCGTGCCGTAGCACTATGCTCTGTACGAAGAATTTGGCGACCTCAGCTGCCATTCCTCGATGCAAGGAGTCTGTTTAGCGTATCTCGCTAAACAATCAGTCGCTACAACGATCCGCTTCTTGCCAAGTAAAGATGTCTGAAATGGTCCAAGGAGGTCCATTCCAACTTGTTAGAAAGGTGCTTTCGGTGGGTCTATCGGGTGCAGAAGGCTCGCTGGCTTAGCACGAGGCACTTTCCGTCTTTGGCACTCACGGCATGTTCTAACATAGCGCTGTACTGAAGACAATAGCTTGGGCCAATAATAGTGCAGACTTATTCGTGCAAGCGTTCGAGTGACCCCCAAATGTCCAGACGTAGGCTCATCGTGGCACGCTTGTAATATTTCTTGCCGCATAGTTGCGGGAACGACAAGCAGAAACTTTTCACGGTTGTGCTTAAAGTTTCTCTTGTAGAGGACATTTCCTCGGAGGCAGAACGATGCGAGGCTTAGAGAAAATATACGAGGTACTTGTACGTCAGCTCCTTTCGGGTGTTTGATGAGCGGGAGCAATTCTTCGCCCGCATGTTGAAATTCGGCTATCTGAGAAGTCTCGACAACAGCCACAAATGGAAAGTCCTCTTCATAAGTCCTCTTCATCTGATAGTGCTGTGTCTGCAGGCACCCATAACAAACAGTCGGCGTCGGTATGTTTCCTCCCAGATCAATATACCACAGTTATGACAAATTCTTGCAGTCTGAGGCTCCACCTTCCTAGTCGTCCGGATGGGTCCTTGAGGTTGGAAAGCCTGCAAACGGCATGGTGATCGCTGACTGCCTTTAATGATCCACCATACAAGTAAGGCCGAAACTTACTGATGGCCCAGACGACGGCAAGGCATTCTTTCTCTGTGGCCGAATAATTGGTCTCCGCCTTTGTTAGAGTTTGACTAGTGTATGCTATCACCTTTTCTTCGCCATTCTGCCACTGTATTAGGATGCCTCCTAGGCCGATGTTACTGGCGTCTGTGTGTATTTCCGTGTCAGCTGTTTCATCGAAATGAGAAAGGATCGGGGGTTCTTGCAGCCGTTTTCTTAATTCGTTTAAGGCACTTTGTTGCTCTATTTTCCACTGGAAATGTACATCTTCTCTCGTAAGTTTCGTCAAGCGTTCTGCAATCTGCGAGAAATTTCTGGCAAATCGTCTATAGTAAGCACAGAAACCTAGGAATCTCCGTACTGACTTTTTGTCTGCTGGCACCGGGAACCTTGCAACGGCGGCTGTCTTTTCGGGATCAGGGCGCACCCCGTGGGCGCTGACAACGTGCCCAAGGAATCGACGCTCTTCGAAACCGAATCGGCACTTTTCTGGCTTCATGGTTAAATCTGCCGAACGGATTGCTTCTAACACTGTTCGCAGGCGCTTGATATGCTCCTCGAATGTAGCGGCGAAGATGACCACGTCGTCAAGGTACACTAAGCAACACTGCCACTTCAATCTGGAAAGTACAGTGTCCATCATGCGTTGGAACGTTGCCGGCGCACAACAGAGACCAAAAGGGAGAGCCTTGAATTCATAGAGTCTGTCCGGGGTAACAAAAGCAGTCTTCTCGCGATCACGTTCATAAACTTCGATCTGCCAGTATCCACTTTTCAGATCTAGTTATGAGAAGAACTTGGCACACCGAAGTCTGTCTAATGTGTCGTCAATACACGGGAGGTGATATACATCCTGTTTAGTCACAGCATTTAATTTCCGGTAGTTGACGCAAAAACTTAGCGTGTTATCCTTCTTTTTGACAAGTACTACAGGAAATGCCCACGGACTGCTAGAAGGTTGAATAACATCATCTTCAAGCATCTCCTGTACTTTATTCTTGATAACTTCTCTTTCTTTTGGTGAAATGCGGTACGGATGCTGGCGTACTGGCCTGGTTGTCTCGTCTGTTACGATCCTGTGTTTTGCAATGGTCGTGCGTCGTACCTTTGAACTATTGGAGAAACAGCTGCCAAATTCCCGTACAAGGTTGTATAGCTGTTGACATTGGATCACTGAAAGATTAGGATTTACGGATATTACGTCGCAGACATAAGATGTTGGTTTCATATCCGTTGACGTTGTTTCAAGGCTGTATATTTCTGTAGCTTCACAAACCTCATGAAGAAAGGCTGTCCCTTTGCGATGTGCTGGAATTCGTTCCCGAAATTTGTCAGGAGGATGTCTGCGTACCCGTTTCATAGCTAGATAATCCGTCGTGCCCCACAAACACCTCTTTTCAGGAAAACATCCATGTTGCTGTCTGCCACACCTTTGTAGTCACCAAACGTATCATTTCTGACTAGAACCATTACACTGCCCTGCGGCGGTACAGTCACATCATCATCGACGATGCGCAGTGGAGTGGTGTATTGCTCGTCTGCTCGAGCAATCTTTATAGCTTGTTCCTTCGAAAATGATACGCTGGACCTCTGCAAATTAATAATGGCACCATTTGCTTGCGGAAAATCTATTACGAGTATAACTTCTCTCGAACATACGGGGAAGACAACAAAGTGACCAACGTAAGTGAAACCTCGTATCTCAACTCTTGCGGCGCATCTGCCGAGAGGCATAATAAGGTGACCACCTGCCGTACGTACTTGAGGTCCACTCCATTCGGTCAGAACTTTCCTGAGGCACTTCGCTAAATCGTAGCTTATCACAGAGTAATCCGCACCGGTATCGATTGAAGCCATGAGCTCTAGCCCGTCAATTACCAACGGCAAATCTGAAGTCATCTTCTCATTACTGCACTTGTTTACCTGGAGACCGTCGTCGTCGTCGTCAAGCTGGTGTCGCAGTGGAGGATCTTCGTATTTCGAATCACCAGCGGCCTCGCCTCCACAGGTCGCCCACTTCAGTTTCCCGGGTTTGGACTAGGTGAACGATGCCTAGGTGCATATGGAAAGGAACGTGGGCTTGGCGAGCGCCGACGTAGAGGGAATGGTGACCGCTGTTGATGACCACGATGCAAGTAGAAGCTCTGACGTGAGCACAGGTATTCCTCGATGTCGGACGGCCTTTCGCCGTTTCGTGGACACGGTGCGTTGACCGCGAATCCTCGAAGACCAGCTTAACGATATCGGCAAAACCGGTACAGTTGGCCAGCCTCTCCACAGTGAAGCACAGGGGCCTACGTTCCGCTTCTCACCATACATCGCTTTTCCGAGGTCTTGTCTCTGTCGAAAGAGGTGCGCTGCGAGTTGCCTCTACGATATGGCGCGGGCTACGTGTGGAGGTAATTTCCTTTGGCAATATGATGATCACTGTTGCAAATTTGATGTTGGGGCATGTGATGCTGTTATATATTCTGAATTACTGCAAAATGTAAAGAGCTGTACAAGAAGGATGAAAACATTGATAAAAAGCACAGCACAGAGAGCAATAATGTAGGAAGAAAAAAAAAAAGGATGGGTCTTAAATACAAAAGTGAACTTGAACAGTGAAAGGAATGTCCACAACTACTAACATTCAGATACAAAGCAAATGTTCTAAACACTCGCAACATTTTACTGCTGATAACACAGGACTTGGATTAAAATCATTTGAAAACTATCTTCATGGTAGCACTTAGCAACTCGACTATCATGTGCATGTTGTTATAGAGGGCTCCAAGGATAAGCTACTGTATGTCTATTATCCTGTTTGTTTCTGCTGCTCTTGTCATCCCAGTGAATGCCATCTCCAAGACACTCATGTCACACTTATTCTTTGTTTGAGGTTGTATTGCATAGTTGTTGACTTAAAAGCTGGACTAAGTGGTGATGGCTGCCCTCAAATCTCAAATAATATTCATCGAAATGATAAATTCACTAAAGAATAAGAGAATTATTAAGTTTACAAGAGACAAAGGAACACATGTCAAGATATATGAATTTGTGATAAGATAAGCATCTCTATTTAATAAGCGCTACCTGTATTTTGACAATTGTCATTCTTGCACACACCTTGAAGTATATTAAATGCCATTTGACTTCATAGGACATTATCTGATTCGTAAATGAGATATAATACTAACTTCTGTGGCCTTACTCAGCCTCGTTACTCTTTGCGTGCAGGATTTTTGCAGATCACGTGGAATCTATAGATTATGACCTGGACTGGCTACAGGACCAGCTGTCAGGAGGAGGGCTGAACTTGGACACTTCCACACTCATGGGGGTATGTCCAGAGTGGACAGGGCTTCTCTCGGGATCACCAAAGGTAGATGGGCTGAGTGACCACAGCGCTGCTCTTGTGCTTTTGCTCGCACATTATATTGTGTGAATTGCACAAAGCAGCTTGCTCTAGTTGTCCACTCAAATATGTTGTTATTCTTAGTCATACTTATACACTGTGTAGATTTGATGTTTGATGTAATCATAACAAGACCGGTGAAATTGACTAAGGTATTTAGCTCATCTAATTGAAGGAATATAAAAAATGCCCAGCACAGTAATAAGTAGAATCTGGGTTATATGATTACGGCTGATGCGAATTGCGCGATGATAAGGTTTCTTTGGATGGACTACATTATACAAAATATGCTGTGATTCGGTGTTATACGAATGGGTTCCCCATTCACAACAAATGATACGAACGTGGGATTAACCACTGCACGCCAACGACGCAACGGGGCTTGTCTGTGGAGGGAAGGCCCGTTCACACTGTGCCTCGAAGGAAAGGAACGCGGCATGACTCATGGGAATTTCCCCAGCATCGCCGCCTAAGTAGCCTGAAAACCACGTCGCAAGGCTGACATGAAAGAATCCACCCGAGACCAATTTGCCGCCACACGATAGCAGATCGCCTATTTGCTTCACAGCTTGGGCTACACCGGCTGCACTAGGTCTCGAACCACGTGATGTAAACCACGAGCTGCAAATTCAATATGGTGGCAAAAGCGTCAGCAGTGGCTCGTCTCCGCGCAATCGCGAACTACCTGTGCAGCGCGACAAAGCTCACGACCTTGAAAAGTATGCATTCATAGGGAGCCTGGTTTGTATTACCATTGCTGCGAACAGCGGAAGAAGGTGCAGCAACAGCAAGTCGACATGCTCTATAGTGTCTCGTTCGCTTTTGCACTGCCGGCTGAATCCGTCACCACCGCTGCTGGTGCATCCGCTCGTGTTGTTTCTGCTGGAGTATCTCCCTAAACACAATAAACAATTGTATCGGGCCAGTTGGTAAGGATCCATCTTTATAAACCCTGACGTTTGTAAAAAACGTTTAGTTGAAGTTAAGCGCTTGTGTTGTGTGTTCTTTGTAATAGTGGCTACGCTTCCTAGAAAGATGGCTCCCTAAACATTTGTGCCGAGGTAAACTGTTTCTTTTGAGTGCTTTGCATGCATAACTAGAACTCGGTACGAATTTTAATGTTCAGGAAACGGGCAAAACAAAATGAATTCTCAAGCGGTGAAGGCAGAACGAATGTGAACAATTTTCGGCGGGTGCGGAAGTTTTTTCGTGGCTGCTCTGTCGTTTTCGCTTGAATTCTACCATGTGACTGATTTTTTTTCGAGTCGACTTCGCACCGTGTTTTTACGGCCACTTAAGCGGTGAAGCGAGTGAATTTTCAGTAAATTTTGCCTGCATGCGGAAACCGTGGCCATTTATGAAGAGGTGATTTAGGCAGGAAAGTTCAAAAGAAAATTATGTACTTTTTTTAGCAAGTAGTAGCTGACCCCAATAAAGTTCCTGTTCATCTTCATGATCAATTTTAACTGGATTTTGGTTCATACGACTTCAGGATGATACGGATATTTTGCGTGTTCTCTTCAAATTTGTTTCATTGAGGTTCTACTGTACTGTTTAGTTGAGTGTACTTACCAGTAACCTAGAATAATTTTTTCTAGGGGAGGTTTGGGGGGGGGGGGCTAATTATACCTTTATTCATCTTCGTGCATGCATTTGTGTCTGTGTATATATATATTCACATGCAAAATTTTTAAAATCTTGGGGAAGGGGGTTGAGCCTCCAACCTCCTTCTCTGGCTATGTTGAAGTTGAAGTTTATTCAAAATAATACATTTTTTTTTCATACATGCATATTTTTTTTTTGCATGGCGAATGAACAATCAGAAGTCCCAAAGTAAGAACTGCCAGGAGAACCTCCTAACAAAAAGTAAAAAGAGGATTAGTTTTTTTAGTCAGCAAACAGTGACGAAATAGCAGCAATATATAGGAAAAAAATGTGCGAAAAAATGAGGGCAATGTGAGCAATAGTGACAATTTGCTTGAAACAAAGAAAAACAAATGAAAACATTCAAGTCATAAATCGTTTAACAATAGGATTTTCACACGGTTGCAAAATTAATACATTGAACATGACTTGAAATCAACGGGAAGCATGTTCCACAGTGTTACGCATAAAAATCTTGCCGTCATTTGACTATAGTTGGTACATACTTTAGGTAAAAGTTGATGACACTTTGCTGAAAAACTTGTATTGTTAGTATTTACAAGAGTAACGTCAGTGGTATTTAGCAAAATCTATCATGTATGAACCTAATGCAAACCCATTTTATGGTTTCATAGCAGAAACTTGTTTTCAAAATCACATTAACACTCTTTGATAAGCAAAGTAGCAATAATATTTTACAGATGCTATGTTTTAACATGATATATGTATCCTGCCTTCACTTGTGTTCACAGAAAAAAAAAAATCAAATGGTTCAAGAATGGCAGTGTCTCGATATATAGCACAAATTGTTACCATTCTCAAACATTCTCTTATCGCTGTTCATCTATCATTAGATTTTGCCCATTACTGAATAACTCCGCTCACATTATTACCGTGATTTGAATGCACAGTTAGGAAATGGATAACAGGGCATAACACTAAATTGAATACAGAAGTGCCAGCAAATACTCAGGACACATACAAAAGAAAAAAAACATTAGGCAAGGTCAAATGCTGAACTTTCGACAGAATTTTATTGGAACGCACATTGCAGCACCAAACACCCCATGCGTACATATTCTCATCATTTATATTTCATGTTTGAAGGCAGCACCGAAAGGCAGCAATAGTGATTAAGCCTAGCTCAAGATTTGACATGTCACAGGAAGTGAGATAATATTGTCACGGCTAAAGGCCGGGCAAGAAGACAGAGGACGACGAAGTGATGAGCGTGGACAGCACCCAGAATTCCTCTGAGAAAGAAGAAGTCGAAGTGGCTGCTCTTTTGTTCTGTTAATACAGACCTCGTTTTTCTGGTCGCACCGTCGTTCTGTACTCTGTTATTTTCACCTAGCGACATTGGTGGAGGTGCTGGACTTCTCCAACTGATGCTTGGGACACCTCCGCGCCCTAGCACATCGAGTCCACCACCGCAATCCGTTCCTGCAGTGGATACACCCGTCCACCGCTACAGTCGCCAACAGCGAGGCCTTAGTCCCGAGGTGATCCCGCTCGAACTTCTCCAGCAACACACCATACCGGGAGAAATGGCTACCCGAGGGCCTTCACAGCTTACTGTTGATCAGCCTCTAATTCCTGAGACCTTCCACGGTGAGGTTTATGAAGACGTCGAGGAGGTTAGCCCAGTATGAGCGAGTCTCCAAAGCCAACCGCTGGCCAACTGAACAAAAGCTATCGCGCGTCTACTTTGCTTTGGCAGACAGCGCTCGTACGTGGTACGAGAACCGCGAGTCAACGCTGTCTTCGTGGGAAGAATTTCGGCAGCAAATTCTCGGGACATTCGCAAACACCGACCGCTGTGATTCTGCTTTGCAGCTCATCGAGGCACGCATACAGAAATCAAACGAGAGTGTCACCATGTTTGCGGAAGACATGACCCGCCTATTTCAGCGGGCCGACCTCGAGATGCTTGAAGGTAAAAAACTCCGACATTTGATGAGAGGCGTCAAGTTTGCCGGTCTCCTACGCAACCCACCAACAAGCGTAGCCGAATTTGTCAAAGAGGCTACAACAATCGAGCGAGCACTGCAGCAACGGCGCGGATACCATGACCAACCAATCAAAACATCTCCCAGTCTCTCTGCTTTGAGTGCCGGTAGTGAGTGTTCTCTGTGTGAACTCATTCGTGAGGTCGTTCGGGAGGAGATCCGAAACCTCCTTGTGACTCCACAAGAAAATACCATGGCTTGCGTTGCAGAAGTTGTGCGGCAAGAACTCCGCCAGGCATTTTCGTTGCCCGAATCGCCCTCAGACCAGCGGTCTGTGAGCTACGCATCAGCTGTCCGTCGACACACTCCAGTGTTCTACAACTCGTCACCACTGGCTTATCGTGACGTGATCCAAGGGCCTTACAACGAGCCGTGGGCCCCAGCTCCCAATCCGCCGCAGCCGTATCCACAGTCCAACATGCCTATGCAAACGGCGCCAATGTACACTTCGCCGACATCTGCATCTTGTTCGCAAGGTATGCCCACCAGTCGACCATTCATCCGTAAGACGGACTTGTGGCGCACCATCGACCGTCGACCACTTTGCTTTCATTGCGGAGAAGCCGGCCATATTTTCCGCCATTGCCCGTACCGTGACCGTAGACATCATAACTTTCTACAAACCTCCCCTCGTGCCTATTTCGATAACCGCCGTGACAGCAGTGCAGGCCCGCAAGCACAGCAACCCGAAGTGCCGTATCGTCGACCCCGCTCTCCTTCACCTGCACCGAACTCGCCGCCGCAGCGCAGGTACTCCGAGGTGGTCCGGGGCAGATCTACAAGCCCTCGTCGGGGAAACTAACTGCTGCGACCTTTGGGGGGAAGGTTGCCGCCCGTCGAGATGCTAACACACCCCCAACATCTTCTCTACGACGTGATATGACGAATGATACCACGGATCGTACGACGCACGATACCAAGGACGATATGACGTCACCGACATCAACGGAAATCGTAAGCGCCAATCTAGACATTTGTATAGACGGACGCCCAATAACAGCACTGTTAGATACTGGTGCGGACTTCTCTATTATCAGCCGTAAACTCGCCGACTGCCTAAAGAAAGTAAGAACAATATGGACGGGACCAAACATTAGAACCGCAGGGGGTCAATTGGTGACGCCGACAGGCAAATTTACAGCTCGAATTAATATCGGCAGTTCAGATTTCGTCGCTACTTTCGTAATTTTACCGGAGTGCTGCAAAGACCTGATCTTGGGCATGGACTTCTTGCGTGAATACGGTGCCATTATCAACATTCCTGAGAAATCGGTTACGTTTTGGACGGCCCCAGATCAAGTTTCGGATGTGCCC